CTCTTTTACTCGATCACAGCCCATTGAGAGATGGATATCGGGTGCAGCAAGGCTACTGTAAAAAAAAAACAACACAGAAATGAATATTCAGGTGGAAAATAAACATTGAACTTCATGTTTCTTATAATCTTGTAGCACCATTATTTTCAAGGGGGGTTTCCTTCTTTTCTAGTGGATACATGAAGGCCTTTTCATCAAAAACTAGCAGCGACATTAGTTTCTTTCAAAGTTTCTTTAATTAGTAATGACGATTTTGAAATTTCCAAGGTATTAGCCACATACTTGAACTATGGATCAAAGTCTGAGATTCCATCAAGAAATGATGTAGAAAGAGTGCCGTCACTTAACTGGTCCACATTTCTATGGATAGTATACTTATTGTAATATGTTAGAGAGGACAGATATGGGTTTTAAACACTTGACACCCCGATTCTGCACAAAATGGTGGGCATATAAATTGAGGCAAAAATGGTCAGAAATTTCATTTGATTGATGCAGACTACATTCGAAAGGCCAATGTTTTGTTGCAACATAAATTCTGGTCTGCAGACAACACAAGTTTTCATTAATGATGTTATGAAGGAGGTAAATGTCAGTAACTTTTTTTGATATCAACACAGCTACACACCTTTGTACTGTCCAGTCTCCTGGTTGTTTCCACATCCTAGTTAGCTGACCCTTGTTGATCCAGCTGTTACCCAGTAAAAGGTCACACCGGTTTAACGTCAATATCCAGGCTTACACCTTCCACCAAACACTTGTGGTTTGAATTTCCATTCTATAAAAAAGCATGGTTACCTAATCAGTTAAAATAGAATGGAATGAGATTTCATTTGTTCAATAATCAATTATATTTTTCCTTTTCATTTCAATTATCAGTTTGAGAAACACAGCTACATTACAAACTTTGTCATTAACTGTATAAATATGATTTAAACTGAAAGAGCTATGGCGGGTTGCTATGCCTATTTCACTAAAGGTGAGACCGCTAGTGTGCACGTACCACTGTGTTCAGGTATTTTTATACAGGTAGCTCGATCGGAATCCTGTGTCTAAGAATAGATTAATGTAAACAGCCGAATTCAAGGCCATGGCTATTGATGCATGCATTTCACGATAAAGAAACAATAAAATGCTTATTTCTCGTAATTTTTATGAATTTAAAACAAATAATATGCTATATGTAACGCTCGTACAATCATTACCAACAACTTTTGAAAGGATTTAATTTTCATTACTACTGCCTGCATCATGCCGTTACCTACTCTCTTACAAAACACACATCTTGATTTTGTTTTTCCTGCACCTATGAATGGCAAAATGATAAATATAATTTTTGAATAACATGTCTTACGATCCTTACTTTGTGCTGCAGTCATCCTGCATTTCAAACATATGAAACTGTCCTCAACGATGAAACTTCCCTTATTCACTTCATATTGTTTGTTTGACCTTTTATTGCGTTACACCCAAACTGTTTTAACTAAAGAAACACCTGTCGTAGTTTAAGAAACTCGCTCATCTTAGTTTTTCATTATTTTGAGCACTTTCCCAGAGGAGGACCACTTTTCCGCAATATGATTTGTTTTTGCATATGACATCACAGAATGAAAAACCTTATTCAAAAGTTGGTCCTCAGATGGGAAGATGTTGAAAGTATTTTTTTTAAGTCTGGGAAACCCCATCATTTTCATAGATATAGTGGATATGGCTATATTTGCAGTATATTATTAACAATAATTAATATCTCAGCAGTTCAAAATTCATATTCAATTGGTTTTATATCGATTCTATGCATTTTTGCTGCTAGAAATTATTTACCGATTAATATTTTTTCTGTTTTCATAATTGCAGACTTGAGGAAATATTGGCAGTTTTCCGCCATAGCTCTTTCCTGGAGCACTTTTTTTCTCTCAATTATTTTCACTGGAGCACATTTTTCTCTCTCAATTATTTTCAAACAATGTAGCAAATTTCCATTTAAAATATCATTTCATTATCAAAAGCAATATATTTGCCAAACAGCTTAAATTTGCTGTTTCAGCATTCCACTTATTTCCAGTGAATCGGTGGTATCCGTCACATGTGCATTTCGGTATATGGTCAATTCTTTTCGGTCAAATTTTGTACTAGCTTGCCAAACTAATATAATTCAAAAGCAAGATTCTTTTGTTGAATGTTTTGACATACATGAAAGTCCCATTTCTGCTTTTTGTTGTTGGAGTGAAGACCCCCATTTCCTTCCCAAAACACAAACAAGTAACTTAAACAAGACCTACCTTACCTTACATATGGAGCATGGAGTTCTAAGCTACCTACCAAGATGTAGCCAATATAGATCTTCCGTAGAAACCTGCCAGTATCCTCTATGTACCGTCATATTCAATACTGCTATACAGAAGATCTGTAGCGTTATTCCCAGTAACGATGTTACCCTCACAGTACCACAAGCCTATGTATCCTCATACATTGACATACATTACATCATATAATACAAGTCAATATCCCCAAAACAAACACTGGTATCACAGTCTACACATGCAAGCTATATATACGTCCATCAATTGAACAGGAAAATCACCTTCACAATATCAAGGCCTTGTTCTACAGGATCCCACACTTATATGTTAGAAGTTAGAACTCTTAGTTGCAGCTTCATATTAAGAATTTAAGTTCCTTTTTGAATAGAAAAGCCATTTGTACATAGTATTAAGGTTAATTTTATATTGATATTCTTTCAAGGTTCTCATATATCGGACTTATTCCGTGGACATGTGAACGTCGCTTATTTGAAGTTAACAATGTGCATTGATGAATTGATCATTTTTTATCGACTAGGGATGTCACGTGGACTGCTGTAGAACATCGGTACTTGATATTCTAAACAAGAGGCCCAGAGGGCCTGTATCGCTCACCTGAATATGTTTAAAATAGTTGGTATGAAGTAAAGATATAGCACTCTATGGTAGGTGCTGCAAGTACATATGAAATTTCAGAAAGATCCATCCAGTACTCGAGATATAGCGAGAACAAACTTCAAACAGAGCCCAACCACTTTGCCCCTAGGGGGGTCATACCCACTGTTTATACAAAATTGAGTCCCCTTGGCCCAAGGATGCTCCAGACTAAATAAGGATAAATTCCCTTAATCCCAATGGTCGAAGAAGGGTTTTAAAGGTTTTACCTCTATTTCCCCTATTGGGCCCTGTCCTTTTGCCCCTGGGAGACCACACCAACTGCTTATACAAAATTGAGTCCCCTTGGCCCAAGAATGCTCCAGACTAAATGAGAATAAAATCCCTTAATCCCCATGGTAGAAGAAGGAATTTAAAGGTTTTACCTCTATTTCCCCTATTGGGCCCCGCCTCCAGGGGGGTTAGACACACCGCTCATACAAAAATGGTTCCCCTTCACCCAAGGATGCTTCATACCAAATTTGGACAAAATCCTGTTATTCGTGCAGAAGAAGAAGTTATTTTAAGAATTTGCTATGTTTCCCCTATTGGGCCCCGCCCTTCTGCCCCCACTCACTGTTTATACAAAATTCCCTTTAAAAAAATTGACCAAGATACTCCAGACCAAACTGGGAAGAAATCCCTTCATCCCTATGGTAGAAGAAGGATTTAAAAGGTTTACCTCTATTTCCCCTATAGGGCCCCGCCCGTCTGCCCTCTTGGAGACCACACCCACTGCTTATACAAAATTGAGTCCCCTTGGCCCAAGGATGCTCCAAACTAAAATCCCTTAATCCATATGATAGAAGGATTATAAAGGTTTTACCTCTATTTCCCCTATTGGGCCTCGCCCCTCAGGTCCCACACCCACCGTTTACAAAATTGGTTCCCCTTTACCAAAGAATGCTTCAGACCAAATCCTTTCATTCCTACAGAATAAGAAGGATTTTAAAGAATTTGCTATATTTCACCTATTGAGCCCCGCCCCCAGGGAGGCCACACCCATCGTTTATACAAAATTGAGTCCCCTTGGCGTAAGCATGCTCCAGACCAAATTTAGTCAAAATCTACTTGGCGTTCAGGATAAGTTTTGTTTTAAAGGAAAAGTTGACGGACGAATGACGGACGCTGCAGTATGGCATAAGCTCACCATGGTCTTTAGGACCAGGTGACCTAAAGAGTAAAGACATATTTTATCCGCCCAAGAAATCCTGCAAATGAATCTACCCGATATTTTTGAATTCTCAATATGAGATGTAACCATATGGAGATAGACAGTCAAAAAAAGTCCCAAAGAGATTGAAAGCTGGTCTATCTACACATAATTGGAAGACATAACAAAGAACTTTGAACTAAAATACTTTGTTGCTGTCCTAAATGTATTGTTTTTTGTGTGAAATCTGGTCACAAAACTATGTTTGTACATTTGCCAACATATCTGCATATGAAAGCTGATCAAAACCTTTGCAGTGTATTTCCCACTTTTCTGCTCCCATACATTTTTTACATTAAATTCTCACATACATATATAACATCACTTTGAGGGAGGGTACCACATGAACTTTCAGAAGAAATTTTAATAAGTTCAACTGGGACCAATTTTTAGGGCAAAGAATTGCTTACATACTCAATATAATCAAAAGACCAAATTTAACTTCCACAAAGTAAAAAGTAAAACAAATTTAAGATCTTGTTACCATGAAACTTTTGGTACTAAGAGTTTAACTGATCATGAATATACATTGAGATAAATTGTCTTTAACAATGTTCGATCTGCCATTTTTGTACTTTTGAAAGTCCAGGTTGGGGGGAGGACATCTATAGCTAATCTATGCCTGGGCATAAAGCAAATTTGCCAAATTTGCAGAAGTTATGGTACTTTTGAAATATAAATCTCCCGAGAATGACAGGCCACAATAATATTACAGAACAAAATATTCCACACCCAATTTTGGTTTATAAGCAATTTTGGCACTTGGAGCTCTAGCCCTGATATACAGTTACAAATAAATGTATAAAGTATAGATATTAAGAACAAGAACTACTGAATATCCTATATATTTTATTCCTCGATCTTTCCTGCTAGAGGAGCTAATACATTAAAACGACAACACGCATGATAAAATAATGGTACAACAGACAATGGGAAAAAATATAAAGTAGAGATTTCGTTCCTCTACGTGAATGAAATGCACTGACGAAGAAATGATTGAATGAAGAGTAGGTGTAATCCTCAGCCTGGTCTATTTAAAAGCAATTTCAATTTCTGCTGGATAACACAATTATTCAGCTTACAGCAAGATCTCCAGAGTAGAAACGCAAGTAATCCTCGATTCAATCCATAAGTAGTCTCAGTGTGATATGGAGCTCTACCTTAACTTAAGGTAACTCTACAATCATGGGACACTGCTGTTCATAGCTTCATAGCAATTTGAATAGGTCACTACAGCACAGTGCTGTTCAGGGTTTGTTACATTACGTTTTATACACATCATAGGACTGTATGGCAGACATGGTCCTACGCTAAGGGATGCTGCACACTGGGCCATACAAATCCTTTATAAGTCTATGCCTCACGGATAATAACGAAGGGCAATAATGTGTAAACTAGTCCACTATGTGTTAAGACCCGAAGGAGCTGGTAACTTATGTACATCCAGTAGTTGTCACAATGCTGTAGTGAGCCGACCATAACCTACTACTTTAGGCTAGCTACCAAGCTATGTATGATTTCCTGAGAATCTGCCTGCCTGTATAACTTCTGCTGGTACTATTGCTTTCTCTATACCTGCCTAAATGTAATCAACAAGAAAAATAAAGTGATATAGTGAATCATGATCCAATATATACACAAAACCATTCAGAGATTCTTTTAACAACCCTCTAGCTTCTTGAAAACTTTCCCAGTTACTATATTAAATACAGAATAGCACCCCTTCATAGCAATATTGTAAGCAATTAAATTATCCCTTTTTATATTTATTCCAGTGAAATAAGAAATACCTGCTTTATTTTTATTGTTCTATTTTTGAGACCATCCAATTATTAATCATTAAAGAATATAATTAAAGAATCCCAGATATACAATGGATGCGATACTGACCCCCGTTTCTCTATCGGTAGATTGCGACTGTTTTAGTGAAATCTGCCCCTGCCTACGCCTCCAGCACTTACCTGAGAAGTACACCTATTGATGATCTTGGATGACTTCATCGTCTGTTGTATCCACCACTGTTGTTGTATCCACCAGCTTTGAAGAAAGCAACAAATCAAAAATTAATTAAAATTTCACAAATGGTCTTCAAAAATAAAAATCATTTTATGCCTTTCAATTTTCCATGATTCAAGTTTTTGCCATAGTCTCTTGACAATCTGTCACCATGAAAAGAATATTAAATGCGGAAGGGATATAATGGTCAAAATCAAGTTTTGCCAATGTTGTCTTAAAAATATTTTTTTTAGGCCAAATAAAATTGATAACTTGGTTCTCAGGCCAATTTTTTTCAATTTTTCTTTTGTGTGTAGTTTGTAAAACGTTCATTGTGGGCATTACCTCGTCTTTTTAAAGTTGTGTAGAGACCCATCATTGAGCAAGCCTCCGAAACCCCCTCCCTCACGATGTTCCAGACTGGAATCAAGAACCCCCCATTCCTTATTTGTACCGAAATGAGCGCCATTTGAACACAGACTAATAAGTCATAATCATTTAAACGCTTGCATGTAATTCAATCCTTATTTTTATTCAAACATGTTCGGGACTTCGGCGACTAACGAGTAAAAACATGCGGACCAATTTTACGGATTTATTTAGTGCATTCACATTTTTTTTTAATTACTTTCACGATAAAATCGGCAATGCGGTGCCCTAAAATGAAATGCGCGCAGGCCTGAGAACCAAGTTATCAATTGTTTTTGGCCTTAAGCATTTGTGATTTATTGTTTGTTGGTTTGTGCCAATAAATCATTATGCATACTGAGAGATCTAATATGAAAATAACAAGATGGAACAGAAAACTGTCTCTGGAAAAAGAAAATAATCATTGTGCTCTGCTGTTCACACAAAAATATTCAATCACTGATTATATTGAATATATTGTCATGTGTAAATGTGCACAATCTGCACATCAACAAAAATATCATTTGAATTTTTGTTTCAATTTGGCCCAGTGTGAACACTGGAATAGCACATGTCTATTCTACTGTGAAATACTATAGCTTTGTATAAAATCCATATTTTTCAAAATTAACATTTAGAATGATTATCATTTCATTTATTGTGACCAAGTGCCTAGATCTTCCATCAAGGTTTTGCATCCATTTATACGGATTAGTAACTGATCCTTCCGTTTCTTTGATTACATCTTTTACAAAGATCACTTCAAAATCCAGTTTGAATTGGATCCACTAATGGAAAAAAAAAGATGGATATATTAATACATTAATCAAGATAATATTTTCAATTAAAAAAAAAAGGAAGCTTTCGCCGATATCAACTTAATTATGAAATATGAAAATCCCTTATCACTGAATTAACCTATTACCCTACAGGAAATTTTGGGGTGTACCTATGAACATGATTGGTTTCTAAGACTTATCAGGGTAAGGGGAAAAGATTATCAGAATTTATTTAAGTTAGGTCCTTACATCCATAGGGTCCCTGTCCACGGTTCGAGTAACTGTTCTTCATGGCGCCACCTCCATAATTATCTCCATAATTCTGGCCAAAATTACCACCATAGTTGTTTCCGCCTAACAATCAGAAATAATCAATTCTAAGCATGTGACTCAATATTAACAAGAACAATAACACTTATTAAAAAATCAACAAAGATGGAACTGTCTTTCAAATCTTCAGAAATATTTATAGTTGACCAATATTAAAACAGATAGCATTGTACTAATATGAATCAGCAAGTTTCCAAACAATCCAACAAGATATATCATGGGACTAGGTATTCTGGCATGACTGCAAGTTTTCAAACAATCAAGCAGAACCTTAAAATATTGAACACAAAAATTTCAAAATGTAAGAAATATCAGCATTCCTAAAACATGGGCTGCATATATAAGATACATACATGCCAAACAATGACAGGCTGGAGATGCCACAGACACAGAGACATTATACAAGTACGAACTGTATGATGTACCAATATTTAAACAACTTTTAACAAGTGAAGGTCTTAAAATCATTAACTGGTGGCGTTCAACGAGACAAAGACAGGCTTTTATTAGTATTTCACAGCAGTTCCAGTTATTAGATAGGAGAGGTTATCTAGGCAAAACCGACCAACAACTTAGTAATACTTGGCAGACGAAGTGAAAAGCAGTTTTAGGAAAGGATCACAAATTGAAAGCCACAAACCCAGGATACAAGAAAATAGATTTATCTATGAAGCAGTTGTTTTATAAAACGGTTGATGATCTAGGGTGATGGGAGTACTAAGTAAGTTGTAAACGGTGATGAAATGTGTTTTACAGGCACTGTTTACAGAAAGTGTCCAACAATGATACAAACACTTTGATGGAAAATGCACATACTGGCAGAGAAATCAGCCTGATCTACAAATATGGATATATACAAAGCCAACAGTATTTCACCTTGGTTACCATATCCCCCACTGTAGTTGTCGTAACCTCCACCGCCAGCACCACTGTTCTGGTTCCATCCTCCTCCTCCTCCGCCTTGGTTACCGTACCCGTTTCCATATCCACCACCACCACCTCCTTGGTTTCCATAACTGTTTCCGTAATTTCCTATGAAGCACATACATACATTTGCAAATCATAATTCAGCCTTTTTAACAGACATAATGAAATATTAGAGTCAATTGATTCAAAAGAAATATATTGATACGAAAGATTGTTTGGTACACAACTTAATTGCAATCAATGACAGCAAAGTTTGATGGTGGCAACAAAAGGCTAATGCTTATACATCGTTTCAAAAAGTTGTTTCCAGAACAATTTGACACAACACAGTTCACATTAAGAAGCATCAAGAAAATATACCTCTATATAAATATCAAGTTAAGAAAGTTGAGCACATTAACATTTTTATCAAATCTATACATGAGACAGGACTCGGAACAGGTTTTTGTTACGTCTCATATGTTAACACCTTGGTTAAAATTGATACCTACCCTGATTGTAACCACCCTGATTGTAACCACCCTGGTTGTAGCCACCTTGGTTCCAGTCATTGAATCCACGACCTTTTCGGTACAGAATCTTAAGTTAGTTCATGTTAGATTTAAATCTAACTTCTAGGAAGCAAGCAAGCTTCAGTGATCACTTCCATTTACAAATGAAGAAAGACCTTTTTTTTTTTAAAGATTTCTCCCTCCTTTGCAGTAATTTGTCTACTTTCAATTTTTCAATTAACTATTATTTCTTTATAAATAATAACCGTGACTGAAATTGGCACCCTGGTATATTAACCAAGGTATTATCATTCAAAGTTTGTTAAATCTGTTAAGATATTAAGTTGCTAGAGCTGGAAAAAAAAAATAAGGTTAACAATGTATGACCTTGGCCTTAACATTGGCACACTTAAAACATAAACCTGTCCCAAGTATTCTCATAGTTTACCTTTTGACGATCAAAATCAATTTCAAAATGAAATTGCTAGTAATTGGTCAACAACTGGCAAACAATGATAGTGACCTTGACTTTACATTCATGAAACAAATTCATCAGAGATATCCAATCATCATAATCAACCTTTCTATAAAAGTGTGTTAAGAAATGATGTCTTTAAACTGACGACACAGAACTAACTGATGATTATCTAAAAATAGCAAGTGGCTTTGACCTTGTAACCCTGGAGTACAAACACATCTTGCATTTTTACATACTCAACTTTCATATAAAACTTAATCAAGTCTGGACAAGAAATTTTCTACCTCCACCACCTCTACCTCCTCGTCCCCCACCACGTCCCCCGCGGCCAGAGTCTCCACCCCGTTGATTTTCCTTAGCAACAGCTTTTTTTACCTCCACTTCTTTTCCATTCAGTGTGAAGAATTTCTTTACTGTAATAGAGACACAAAAAAATGTTTTTAATTTTAGTAGTCACTACAAAGACTCGAGACCATTGGTCATGGGTTTAAAATATTATGATTATACTTTCTTGTAAATATCATGAAATGGAAACTTAACTTTTCTTTTAACTGCTAAACACTATATTGGTTTCATTGCAATAGTCATGTTATTATGATAATCTTAACCCTTACAGGGCTACCTGGTTTTAAAGTTGATGTTTTAACTTTTTAAATGAAAATTAATGTCTATAGATTAGTTTTGATGGTATTCTGCCCAAATCCGAATTAAGATTTATTAATTTTTATGCCACATGTTGAAGAGTAGTTATATGGAGTTACAGGTATAAACCTTTAAAACACATTTGATTTATCAAATTGCTATAAACATAATCACTGAAATAATTTTCCAATACCTAGTCCTATACTTACGAACACATTTGTCAACTGAGTCAGTATCCTGGAATTCTACGAAGCCGAATCCTTTGACTTTGTTACTTTCCTTATCCCGAATGAGATCAACTCGTTCAATATCTCCATAAGTACAGAAGGCTTCCTTCACTTGGTCTTCCGAAGTGTCATCCTTCAGACCACCAATGAACATCTTCTTTGTCGACTCCTGTGGTTCGTTAAACTGCCACAAAAGAAGGTAACAGTGCATAATGTGCCAACTTATATCTGAGCTATTCCAAAAACTATGTAATGGGGATCAGGAAACCACTTTTTATGCGACTGCCACCAATTTATCATTTTTCTCAATACCCAAACAACTGTTTTTGGAAAGAAAGCAATGTATATCATTTTAAAACATTCTATACAAGTTCTTTTAGATATACTTGTACTGCTCTGTGAAATGATCTTACTGAGGAGACAGGAAACGCTACAAGCCTTCTGTGTCTTAAAAAGTTGCACTTTATCAACTATTTTAAATCAACAACATAGAGCAATATGAATTTGCAAAAGCTTAACTGTGATATTGGTCTGTCCTAAAGCCAGTTTTATTTCAACTTTATCATTTGAATTATCCCTACGGTGTATGTTTTATTAAAATTCCATTCATAGTTGAAGTGATGGCGCAGTGGGCAGACCTCGCAGGATGGGACCTCCCCAACTCTTGGAAAGCTCCATTGTGCCTCACTGAACTATTATCTTATACCGGTAATATTATATGTACTTTCTTTGTTTATTTATTCTCCATGCAAGTGATTTTATGTAAAATTTTAAAGTGTGTTGTTGTACATTGTATATATGTCTTTTACAGGGCCATATTGTAAACTAGTCGAAAGTCTAAGTATGTTACCGTCTAACTAAAAGATTTTATTATTATGTATAGTTGAATGTTATCAGCTCATCTGATCTATTGTGCCGACAGATTATCTGCTTATAATACCAGTGACAATGATTTTTGAAAGGCAAACTAAAATGCACTCCAAAGTAATTCCTTTCAGTGATGAAGCTCTATATTAGTTTGATTAGATTCGTCCAAAAGGAACTTAAGATATGAGCAGAAACTAAGAGGGGGGATGCACATGCATCTTTGCTGCATGCGCTCTGATTGTGACCAGATGGATTATTCCCAATCAACTTTACCTCCCTTGGCATTGCCCTTTTTGTCTCTACATCTCTGGTGTTAATCTTGTGAGGTCGGTTTTCTTGGGACAAATCCACTTCCGATGCGTACTTGTAAGTGATGAACCCGAAGCCTCTTGACCTATGCAAGGAAAATAGCGCATGTATGGGTTATATGTTTTTGTCTGTACAACACACCATTCAAAACTGAACTTTAAGCCACAGGCTAACTAATACCTCCCACTACCAGAAGTGATCAACTTTCATAAATATCAGTCCAAGACAACCAGCAGTACTTCAGACAAAATATATAAATGTAACCAAACAAGAGTACCGCGGGGCGGAACAATATACGCCCGTCGAATGTCATAAAGTGTTATATACTTTCTTACATTCAAATAAGATCTGCATCATTCTAAGAGTGGTTAGCTGATATGCTACAAAAAATGTAGGAGAAAATCTCAGGACAAAAAATCAGATACTGAAATGAACAAAGGGCAATAACTTTTGGAAAAATTATCGAATCAAAATTCTTTTCAGGGAGACACAACTTCATAACATGATTACGATGTATACCAAGTTTAAAAGAGATTGGTCAAAAAATGTAGGAGATTTCCAGACAAACAAAAGTTTACGCCAGCCAGCTGACCAACCCCATACCATAATGCTCCCTTCAAATTTGACGGGCGTATAAAAAGGGGTTAAATATAAAACTGTTTTTGAAAAGTCAAAATAAATATAAACTGCAAACACATTACTATTTCAGGACACAGCACATGTGTACCAATTTTTTATAAACATAAATTTAGCATCAAAAGTAAGTAGCAGTACCAGAAACACTATCCCATATGTAGTATTCTCATAATTGTTTATTGTACAAAGTTTGATCAAAATATTTTCTGTGATGTGATACCTTTTAGTGTTAGGATCTTTCATTACAACACAGTCAGTGATCTCGCCCCATTTCCCAAAATGCTCTTTCAAGCCTTCTTCTGTTGTCTCATAACTTAAACCTCCAATGAAGATTTTTCTGAACTGTTCAGCTTCTGGGTCCTGTTCTGCACGTGGATACTGACGTCGTTGTCCTCCTCTGCTGTGGTTTTGGTACTATTGTTGGAAAAAAAAGGAAGAACATTATTTTAAGATATGAAATATAATATTAATGCCTGTACCGCTAAAATGACAAGCTATAATATTTTTTACTTTCGGGAGTAAACCCGGATGTGCATACAGCTTGTTCAGTTTACTGTTATTAATCTGATTATCAATGCTGTCTAAATGCAAGTAAAAACTGAAAATATCATATACTGCAAATGTACTTTTAGAAAAAAAACATGACAACAATATATCTTACATGTAAAATGAGGCTTATAAGTCTTGAACGGCTCACCTAGCTATTCTGGATACAAGTTAAAAAGTGTTGGGGCCTGTGAACCTTTTCAAATTATTTACCATATGAAAGCATGGGTTAGACTTGTAAACCTTTTCAACATCAACCTGTGGCCAAATATTACAAGTATTCAATTGTGTATCCCTGCCCTCAGCACCCAAAGGAAGTTTACATGTTCAGTTGTGTATCCCTGCCCTCAGCACCCACAGGAAGTTTACATGTTCAGCTGTGTATCCCTGCCTTCAGCACCCAAAGGAAGTTTACATGTTCAGTTGTGTATCCCTGGCCTCAGCACCCAAAGGAAGTTTACATGTTCAGTTGTGTATCCCTGCCCTCAGCACCCAAAGGAAGTTTACATGTTCAGTTGTGTATCCCTGGCCTCAGCACCCAAGGAAGTTTACATGTTCAGTTGTGTATCCCTGCCCTCAGCACCCAAAGGAAGTTTACATGTTCAGTTGTGTTGCCTGCTTGTCTGGTCCATTATCAAAACTAGTTGCGAGACAGTAGTCAATACCTTGGTACTATATATATAATCACAACCATTTGTACTATAAGCTGTTTCTTTTGATAATTCCTCTAACTTTGGAAATTAATTCCTGTTGCATTCAAAGTATTTGCCTCTAATACAATGTACTTTAATATTAGATATCAGTTTTATATGCATAAATGAGGACGATTTTTCCTCATAATCTGGTCATGTTCAAGTTATTAAGAAAAGGGCACAACTATATCAATATTTTCCTAAACTGGTCATGCAGAAGCCGAAGTGTGGAAAGACATTGACTGGCACTTCCCATACATTTACCTCAATACCTATAATCAAAATATTAGTATGAATATAAAAATACACTGCTAGCTACTCACCATTTTGTTTCTGTTTTATTTTCTTCTTACAATATGAAATCTGAAATGAAAAAAAAATGATTTCATAACAACCCCAATATGAAATCTGAATTTCAGTCTTGGTGATCAACTTAACCATCAAAGGAGCAGGGAGGCTTTAACCCACCACCACCCATATTTTATTCATACCAGAATGAAGTACTGCCATTGATCTTTTTGCAAGAACTAATAGAAATTGTTGGTACATGAAAAATTACAACAGTGAACACTGTCACCAACTTTACGATGGTATTCAATTACCTTAGGCTGCTTCTCAGAATGAAACACGTCTTTTATCTTTTCATTTTACACATTTAAACATTATGCATTAATCAGCATAATTAAAAAATAAATTTAATTGCTTCAGTAACACATTGAACCTCAATATCTACTATAATACCTCAGATATGTGTTCTGTATACTGCTAATTGAAAATCAGGTCATGTGATGATGTTGCCTTTGGAATTTCCAAAATCTATCACCTCTTGTGACATGAGCATTTACGTGCATAATGGCAACCCGTGAATGGATAATAAAGAATAGGTGCATTTTGTGCTTGTGAAATGAAGGACAATTAACAGTAGTGGGAAAAATTGCATGGAGAAAAGAGACGTACTCCTTTTATTTTCATTTATTTTTTATTCATAACAATAATAATTATTAATATATGTAGTGACTTTATATACTGTCACTGAATATACAAAATCTCAAATGTTCTTGGAATATATTTGAATTATATTTCTCAATGCAACTTTACCAACGTAAGAGTTATTTCCCTTACACTGGATTGGATACAATTTTGACACGGTGCAAATTCTTGTCAAACAGCAGCGACAGTTGTGTCATGTTCTTAAATTGTTACATTTTATAAATAAATACACCAGAAAAAACATGCTGTGTTACAGAAATGTTTGATAAGCATACACGTTTCACATATTGTCTCGTCTCGGAGCCATTAACGTCATCAACCTAATGATGTTAACCTCATGAAAATGCAAAAAGTGACTATGACTGCACACAAAAAATGAAACTCATCTTTCCAAAGGTACTTAGCTTTTTTCTTTAATCAACTAGAAATGTGTTTTTTGATGCAAGATGGTAAGGCGGGGTCGACATATATGATCATTGGGCATAAGGCGACAGTACCCAAATCAGATCACAAAACCATTTTATTGATTCATTGAAAAATCTGAGGAGGAATTATATCCATTTATGGTTGTATCAAAGGAAGAATATCAATGGGTGTTCTTACAAACTAAATTAGCATGTGAACCTCACTTGAGATATTTATAGAATGCTCTGAAGTCACCCATCAGCGTCTCCGTTTTTTGCGAATGTTGGGACCCAAATTGGATCACGGCTTGAATTTTGCAGTATCATGCATTTCAAATGAATATTTTTTTGTCCACATACTAACATTTTCTAATGACCTTTAGAATTTATACAACAAAAAGTATTTCTATAGTGTGCATTTATTCCTCTAGTCCAAAACTGAATGCATAGTCGTCGCGCATGCCATTTTTTTTTAAACGTAATAAAAAAACACCGACACTTGAGTTTAAATAACATTTTCTTGTGCTATTTGAACTTTTAAATAATCATCTGTAGACAAACAAAAGGCCCATGGGCATTAACGGTCACCTGATATATTTATACAAAGAGTTGATTTTGTTTTTAACACGAACAGAAATATTCAAAGTGACAAAAACCAATAAAACCACCTTATTCCAATATCTAGCATACAGATTTAAGACTAAATAGTATTTGAAACTAGCACCTGATTATAAACAAGGAAAAGGAAGAAATTTTAGCCAACTGACTCCTTTGGGCCCCACCCTACAGCCCTTGGGGGGTAGGGCTGGCTCAAAAATTTTTTAGTATCAAACTGACAACTCAGGGTTATAATTCCAATCAAGTTATTAACATGTAATATTCAAAGTATCATTTGCCATTATAAACCATAATACATTTTGCCAACAAACTGCAACCCAATACTGATAATGCTAATCTAAATTGAATTATTTCCAATGGAAATTAAACAAATGTTGGTCCAAAATGTGATTTCCCTATATAAACTAGTCAATTTACCCCCTCCCCAGGGGGAAACGTGAGACCCCAGGGTCAAGAAATTCACAATTTTGGTAAAGCACCTAAGACCCTTCCATCTATGAAGAGTATTGAATTCTACCATATCTGGGTCTTGAGAAGAAGATTTTTGAAATTTTAGTGAATTCAACCCTTTTTGGTCCCGCCCCTGCAGGCCGGGGACCACCGGCAACTGTTTTTGTTGACCTTTGGCCATGAAAGATTTCTGAAAAATTTCATTGAAATTGGTTCAGCAGTTTTTGCAAAAGTGATCCGATTTGGGTCCTGCCACCTGTTTCTGTCATGGCAAAATATAAATCACACCTATCTCGAAAAAAACAAATTATGAGTAGGGTGCGATTTTGTTTTTGTGAGGGCAATTTTTATAGACAGAAACAAATGCCTGCCATTGCGGTGGCATTTGGACCGAAAGTTGATCTAACCCCCTTTAACGCGTGAAATTNCAAAGTGACAAAAACCAATAAAACCACCTTATTCCAATATCTAGCATACAGATTTAAGACTAAATAGTATTTGAAACTAGCACCTGATTATAAACAAGGAAAAGGAAGAAATTTTAGCCAACTGACTCCTTTGGGCCCCACCCTACAGCCCTTGGGGGGTAGGGCTGGCTCAAAAATTTTTTAGTATCAAACTGACAACTCAGGGTTATAATTCCAATCAAGTTATTAACATGTAATATTCAAAGTATCATTTGCCATTATAAACCATAATACATTTTGCCAACAAACTGCAACCCAATACTGATAATGCTAATCTAAATTGAATTATTTCCAATGGAAATTAAACAAATGTTGGTCCAAAATGTGATTTCCCTATATAAACTACTCAATTTACCCCCTCCCCAGGGGGAAACGTGAGACCCCAGGGTCAAGAAATTCACAATTTTGGTAAAGCACCTAAGACCCTTCCATCTATGAAGAGTATTGAATTCTACCATATCTGGGTCTTGAGAAGAAGATTTTTGAAATTTTAGTGAATTCAACCCTTTTTGGTCCCGCCCCTGCAGGCCGGGGACCACCGGCAACTGTTTTTGTTGACCTTTGGCCATGAAAGATTTCTGAAAAATTTCATTGAAATTGGTTCAGCAGTTTTTGCAAAAGTGATCCGATTTGGGTCCTGCCACCTGTTTCTGTCATGGCAAAATATAAATCACACCTATCTCGAAAAAAACAAATTATGAGTAGGGTGCGATTTTGTTTTTGTGAGGGCAATTTTTATAGACAGAAACAAATGCCTGCCATTGCGGTGGCATTTGGACCGAAAGTTGATCTAACCCCCTTTAACGCGTGAAATTACTCTGAACCTTAGTTCAGGTCCAAATTCTCAGGTACCCGTGTTCCAACCCTATGATTTCACCATGCATGGTCATCGATAGAAAAAAAATGCATCATATATCACCTAAACAGAATAAAAGGACATTATATATAGTGCACAACTAGAAATTATATTTCACGGGAAAGAAGCTACCAAAACATTGCACGATTATCGATACAAATGAGACAAGAGGGCCAAGAAATCAAAGATGGCGTCCAATGAAAAAACAAAACGGGCTGGGTCATTAAAGCGAAATTTGCAGCAATTATATACCACCTGCTGTTGAAATCATTATATTAGTAAACTATAACATGACATGAAACTACTATCTGAATTCTTGAATATTATTGTATGTCTCTGTAATCAAAAATGCGTTTTTGTACACTATAATCACAATACCCTTTCTTCTTCCTGTTGTAGACGGCGGCTTGAAGAGAAATGTCACGTGATTCGAATTATTAGCATTGACACGTTTAATTGGGAAATGATTACTGATAATCTGTCAAAGTGAATTAATATATACAAAAGGATATAAATCATATAGTTAAGTCGATTTAAAAGAACGAGCAAAAATCAATTAGCACTCACGATAAATGCCGGAACGTTTCCCGCGTAGACCTCGTTCCGGGATCACATCTCCGCACATGCGTAGTACCAGAGCATCCATATTTCCCGGCACTTTGTTGTGCAGACTCAGAGGTAAATGTGTGGTTCCCATAAGGTTGTAAATGTTATGGTTTAGCATGTTATCGTCACTGGCAAAGAACGATATCATTACTTTCATTTAACAGTACATATTATGTTTGCACTTTAATGGTGATATAATAATGGAAAGATGTAATCGTAATCATGCCCGATGTCAAAATGGCGCCTTCAATAACAATGAGGGTCTTGCGGCACCTCTTTTAGTATATTTATCTAAAATCTGTTTCTACAGCTAGTTAATGAATGAGGATTAGCAGAATTGTTTTTATGCTTAATTTTAATCGTAAAATAATTCCATTAGCTATTTGCATTTTCTACTGGAATTTCTTAAGACATTTTTTCTTCAATTTTGAAGACCTGATGATGATGAGTTCAATGATCAATTTCATTATGCATTGGCGATTGTCGTATTTCAGGAACACTTTTTACTCGATGGCTTTGTTAAGTATTTCTTAAAAGTTGCATGATTTGAAATGCGTTTGTTGTTTCAAACTGGAGTTGTGAAATGAACGTTATTCACCAGACCGGTATATGGTGCACGAGTACAACATTAAGACAGATTTTAACGACAAGGAACCTTTTAATAGCATCATCATGATCAGAAATCGTTTTCTGCACTTTCTACTGTTGGAACTGTTATCAACACCCACCCCACCCCTCTCGAAGTATGGAAACATCGACATACTAGATGCTTTTAGTAGTTTTGCCCTGAATCACTTTCACCTTTGGTCGTTTCAACCGAATAATTTATTTCAGTTGAAACTTTTTAGACCGTTTGTCGTTATTTATGGCTAATATGGTCTCTTTTAGAGTTTCCCAAAGCCTAGAGTTATTTGTCATTGGACTCGGATTTGTACATGGTAGACTAGATGTTAGCATTGTATACATTTCATGAAATTCTTCAGACAACACAATTGTCAATGAAATGTGAAAAAGTAAGTTTCTAAAGTCAAGTTTTGCTACTAATAGGATTGCACAATTCACAGAACAATTATTTTATATTTTGTTGCTGAAAATTTTAACCCACATGCAGACAATCGACCAAGTAATAAACCTTTTGACCATTTGATATGCATTCCATTTCGGCTGAAAAACATGCTTTCAATATTTGTGTTGCCTTTTTTGGCGGCAGCGTAAACGTTTTTGCTTTTAAGTAAGTTACACTGAAAATAAAACCAAACTTGGACCATAGATGCATCTTGGGTAGTAAATCTTAACTTATAAATCAAATGCTGAACGTGGCCTACTTTTCATGGTCCATTGACTGTCAGCATCTCCATCAACATTAAATTTTTGCGTTTAAGTCAATTGCCCCATACCTGGTGTATGTTTCATGGGCCAGTATTATTTCTGTTTTTCTCAAGAACAAGCAGGTGTTACTTAGTTATTGTCATTTGGTTAAACAAAATTGTTTAATATGAATTACAACATGGTATTTAGTCAATTGGACTATGATCAAAGTCCAATTGACACATTCTAACAAAATGCTCTTTGTTTGCTACTAAAGTCTTTTTATTTAAAAGTAAGCTAACATAATAGATTGACTTACTTAACTGAACCTTCTTTGTGTAATTCTTTCAATACATACAAAAAGAGGTTCATCCTGTACAAAAATAGATAATTCTATAAATATAGATAATAAATATAGAATATTACTCTAACAAAAACTTGCTGCATATGGTTGATGGCCATGGGTTATGATTAAAATAACCATTTAAAAGGTATAAAATGTTTGTTTAGGCTGAAGCTTTTGCAGTCGTTGAATATGATATGGAAAAGTGAAATGTTTGAAATATTAAATAGGCTTGTTTATTAAAAATTGATCATGGTAAAGCATTAAATGCCTATTGGTTTACTATTTTGTTCTACATTGTTTTCCTCCTTTACAAACAGGTTGTACTTGAGACTATACCATCCAGCACGCTGGCGGAAATAAAGGAAAAGAAGCGCCCAGGGCCAGGGGATGCTGGTGAGGATGATGATGGCGAGGAGGAGGAAGAGTATACTGTTGAGAAAGTTGTAGATGTTCGAATGAAGTCTGGCAAGCGAGAGTATCTCCTCAAATGGAAAGGATATCCAGAGTAAGAACAAATAGATATGAAACAATGTTAGGATGAAAAATTAGAATACTTTCCAGTGGGTTTTTGGGTTCCTTTCCCCATAGATTCTTATTGGGGCTTTTCACCAACTGGTGAAAAGACCTATTGTTTTTGTTGTTTCTTGTTTTTATTCTTGTTATTCTTCTGCCGTATTTTGTGGAGTCTGTATCTTTTTATGGGTAAAAGATAGGTTAATAGTCTTTTAGGAATGTTGTAGGCCATGCCAAGGTCTGAAGATGTTCCAGGAACATTTCCAAGTAGGTCAAAAATCCAATATGGCCGTCATGATGTCATAGGTTATAAACTTTAAAAACCGCTATAACTGGAAAACCGTTGATTGTACAGAGATGATGCGATTATTTTATTTGTAGATAATTTCCATATCTAACTTTTTCTCATTCAGGGTTTGAACAGACCTTGAAATGGCCCTTAAAACAAGGCTTAGCTTTGAAAATGGTGTAAAGGCCTTAACCAGCCTTAAATTTCACTAAGAGGCCTTTGAATTTTGGAAAATGAGGCCAACATAAAAAAAAAATGTTTGTTTCCCTCGCCCCAACCGGGTCAAAAATGAGACCCCCCCCCACCCCAGTCAAAAGATTATTGCCCCCAAAATGCGATGTGCGACAAGATCGCATTGTCATCATCTGTCTGAATTAAGTACAAGGACGTGTCAAAAGTGTTACCCATCGTGGTAAATCGGTTATACAGCTTTTCAAAAAAGTGCACATGGAACGTGTTGAACGATTTAACTTCAGATGATGGTCACAACGTAGATAAATTAGATGAAGTGACAGTTTCTGCGTCTGATAAGATGGCTAACTTTTACTCCAACAATGTTAGAGGTTTTACACGGTATAAAAGTATATCGTGTTGACATACATTTAAATGTTCAACAGGGTTCAATACATTTTTCTTTCCATAAATCTATGATTAAATGAGAAGAAGTTCCTCTTTCGAAGCGAAGCAGACAACATTGGCCATGATTTTCCGGTTAGTACAAAAACGGATTACATGCAATGTTCTACAAACGGAATACTCTGTTTCAATTCGTTCCGTTTGAAATCCCCTCTGCTATTTTGTATCGACCCAAGAAGTCATGTTGTAAAAGTAAGTCAGAGAAGTGATATAACGACAGACATGCATTTTGAGTGTTCCATTCCTTAATATATTATATATTTGTGGCTGTGGCATACATATGGGATAAATATTATATGAACCACTAAAGTGAATTTTTCAAGCCGATTTTGCTCCGCCCAAATTTCGGGTGGATTCTGCATCAAAGAATTACTGCCAAGGAAATAAGAGGTCGCAGTCGGCAAAATCATATCCGATAGAAAGAAGACCGACCAGCAGCCTCTTATGTTATAGGAGAAGGCTATCTGTGACTTTTGAGCCCCATTTTGATTTAAGAGTAAATAAGAAATCCCTAAAAGAAATCCAAAGAAGACTTTAGTCAATTAATCTATGGGCCCTTTTGATTTTAGTATTTGTGTGTTCGATTGTTTTGTTCTAGTCGGACACTTTAAATGTATTATTATAAATACATACAGGGGTCGACACTAACGGTAGACCGGAGGACCGGGTCCACCAAAATCTTGGACGGTCCACTTAATCTCCAAAGCTGGTAGACCGCCAGTCCACCACATATTACTTGATTAGTGTATATATATTTGAGAATGTTGTTCAGAAATATACTAATAAAGACTTTATTTACTTCGCCAGCCGAAAATCCCATCTGGTTAAAAAATGTATCGTATTTTCGTGTTGTTAACCCGCTAAAAGTTGTCGTTATCATTCTTGGACGAGTGAAGTGCGTGAATCCGCTTGCGGTAAGTCGGAATCTTTTCAGCGTTTGAGTCGCTTGTGGTATAGTTTGCCGCTATTATAAGCACTAAAATGACGATGACGTCACGATCACGGTGGTCAACCGGTAAATGAAGGTAAACTTAGCCTCACAATTTCGTGTTACGTTTACGTTTTAATTTCTATCGTATTCTAGCGTACATCGTTTAGGTGATCGTGTCTGTCGATTAACTTAGTATCTGTACTAGACTAGTACCGTATCGCCTGTGTCGCGATTTTTAAATGGCTTGGTTTACAACCACTGGCAAAAAAAGAGTTAAAAACTTCACCAGAACAAAAACAACACGAAGTTTGTATGGGCAACAAAAAGGATGATATCCTTTCAGGAGTCATGGAAAAATCGTTTACATGGCTCAATAATGATACTGACACAAACTTAATGAAATGTAGGGTATGCTGCACTCAGAAGATGATTCCGAAATGTCCAGGAAGGATTGAATAGAGGTGCAACAAAATACGTAAAGACTACTGTTGGGGCAAATTTGTTTGACATTCTGACTGTATATTGAGATAAAGATCATATAAAAAAGGTATAATACTATAAAAAAGTATATTATTTTATCCTTATTTTTTCATATGATCTTTATCTCAATTTACAGTCAGAATTTCAAACACCTTTGGATGGGAGCTATGTAAAAAAAAATAAACAAGGAGAAAATTGTTTCATGTTTCTGTGTCATTTACTAAAACTTGGTCATAAATGGAAAAAATAAAAAAATAAGGAGAAAAAACAAGTATTTTACAGAAAATTAAAAAACCTTCATTATTTGTTTAAAACCCTCAGATGCCAGGATTTTGCATCTAGCTTTTAAAAAAAATTGGGGGAGGACCCCCATACCCCCCTCTTATTCAGGAGGGGGGGTACCCCCTCCCGAACCCACCCCCCACTCCTCGCTACGCTCGTCGACCGGGGCGCAAAGCGCCCCAGATCTGAGAATATTATTCAGGTCCACCAGAAATTAACCAGGTCCACCAGATTAAGAGAGCAGGTGGACCTGTGGTCCACCACCTATTAAAAGTTAGTGTCAACCCCTGTACATATATATAAAAACTGCAAAGTTTGATTTTCTTAATGTTATTTCCAGTTTTATATTTTCGAAAAAAAATTGTGCCTGGGTAAATATCCTGGCATTGAATACAGTATACATGTATAACAAGCAACAAACTATGGCAATTTGGAATCTACACATTGTCATACATGTATAAATATGTTATTAATAAAAGCTTTAAGGACTTCCCACCCTTCGGAATACTCATGTTTTTTGTGTCGTCATTTCCGTATTACGTATCGGCATTCCATTACCATAGTGTAAATTATAGTAACACCGGGTAAACAATAGTACACATGCGTAATGATGATATGTCAACACCCGATATTGAGACTTAACTTGGAAATGTGTAATCACACGTACTTCAGAAATAAAGCTAATGATACAAAGGCATTAATTAACTCACAGGAAAACAATGACATACGGTCAGACGACATCAAGAAGGTCGTATTTGAGGCGCATAGCATGTAGACTGATGTGTTTTGTTTACCAACCTCACCTGTACGTATCACTGCAATTACAATAACTATGTGAAAATAGCGGTTTGTAAAATATCAAGATCTCTATAAAATGCAAGTGCATGTGCGTGTACATAATAACGGCATACCATGCGATAGCCTATGGTTAAATATGTACCTGACATGTTAACCCTTAGGCTGCTACGCGCCACAATAGTGGTTTCGAAAAGTCAGGCCGTCAGTGCTGCACACGACTATAGTGGCTATAGGTTTTTGATCAGTAAACAGGAAGTGTGAAAGCGGACTGTTGCTATAGCAAACCCGAAAGCGTATAGTAGAAGGCTTCTGATTGGTTGTTTTGTCATTACTTTCGATATTCCCGGCAATGTACCCTAGTAATAACCAAAGTGTGAAAAAACGTCATAAACATGGCGGACGTGTAGATTGAAGTGATGAATATGATGGTAAACATTTATTCTCCAGTGCACCTACGATGATAATAAAGGTTTGACATGGTTGATGTGGAAATACTTCGGTGTAACATAATATGTAACTTTCCAACTAACGGCTTTGTGCCCTGCGCAAACATGAAAATATCGGCGGACCGAGACACACATGTCGTCTGTAGGTGAGGCCGAATTGAACATTGACATAGATACGTTTTGAGCCGATTGATTTCTTCAAACTATTTATCGATGATTTAATCATAAACTAGACCGTGTCCAAGATATATCTATATGCTGACTGTGACAGTAAATATATTGAATGACGACCTGAAACCTGTAGCAAATCGCATGCAATTCTTGTTGAAATACCTGAGAATCTCCGTTTAAATGTACAGCATCTTATGTCATAAAGAAGTTTATAATCTCTGTCATCATTTTCCAATCACATTTGCTGTCAAAAATAATTTTAAAATGATCTTTCTGGTGCTTAAATCCGATTAATTAAAAGTTTCACCTTTTCTTACCTTTATTACCACCTGTACAGGTAAATGCTGAAGCAACTTTAGAATCGAAAACGTTAATATAAACTAGAGACAACGAACAATTTTCCTGTAACTTTGTAAGAAATCAAATATGGCAGCCATTTTGAAAAAGCGATTTCAAACTATAGTCAAATTCTGCTGTGCAGATTGAACTGAAACTTAATAGGAATGATCGATTCATGGTCCTGACAAAGCGTTGTTATTTTTTGGGTCGATCAGAAATCAAATATGGCCGCCACAGCCGCCATTTTGAAAAAGCAATTTCAAACTAAAGTCAAATTCTGCTGTGCAGATTGAACTGAAACTTGGTAGGAATGATCGACTCATGGTCCTGACAAAGTTTTGTTATTTAAAATGTTACTTACAAAAGGCGAGAAACTAGTCTATATAAAGATTTCAGAAATATTAAATACAACAACAATTGGTACCCCCCACAATACATACCTGTACNAAAAATGAGTGGGAACACTGTCAGTATAAATATTGTTTGTTCATACAATTATCAAGAGGAATGGTCCTGGACTTGTCATTGATGCTCACTTTCTAACACAATATAGTTTTGGCATTTAATGTAATAAACTGATATAGATTCCTGTGATGATACCAGGTTTTCTACTGTTTGATGTATATTTAGTTTTATAATTGTTTATAACCAGAATATATGCAACACACAGACTTCGGGCATGATATTTCTGAAAGAATAGGCTCGGTTTCCCTCTAAGGGAGACAATCTAACTTGGTGGACCTGAGACTTATTGCCCAAGAATGTACTGTTCCTGTTAACTTTCTTGACTTGTATATTCTAAAAAGGTGGACTAAACATACATTTTTATGGTATTGGTAAGAGGAATTCCATGTAATAAAACTTTGACTTGTAGAGTAGATGTGGTCAAAATTAACATCTTTGTTTCTTTAAACAGTTCTGAGAACACATGGGAACCAGAAGAAAATCTTGATTGTCCAGACTTAATAGCAGTTTATGAAGATAAAAGGAAAAAGAGGGAACAAGAAAAGAAGCGAAAAACATCTAATGGAATGGAAGATGGGACAACAAAGAAAAAGAAAAAAGTTACAGAAGTAAAAACAATAGTAAGATTGTTGAGTTTTGTCGCAAGCAATAACTCAAAATCATATGGGGGGGAAATGACAAATATCTAAATAAATTAATGTATATATTGACAACAAGTTTGAAGAACAATCTTCAGGCCTCCAAAACTTCTCTTGTAAGAGTGATAAATTAGTTAAAAATATAATCAATGATTTTGAATTGCATATATGTATATATGCTTTTGGATGCAGTTTGTTTTATTATCAGTTGTTTGATATAAAAATTTCGAGAATGTTCCAGGAGCAGATTTTGGGCTAATGTGGTGTTGTTCTGTTTGTCATCCATCTACCTTAGGTTAAGGCTACAATCCTTAGGCCATTGAGGTAAAAATGAAATACAAGAAAAGAGACTGACCTTCCTGGTTGCTGAGGGGCCAGATCAAATAGACAAGGCTTGAAGGCATCTCCCTCCGCCTTATGTACTGATGATCATTTATTAGATTAATTACAGTCAAGTTACTGATTAATGACTTATAGCTGATATGATTATTGACTTGCAGCTCTTAATTTATCTTCTTTTTAACTAAAAAGTTTAAATAAAGGACCAGTTGGCTTCTTGAAAAGTAAAAACTAAATAATGTAAACTAGACTTGAAGTTCCTTGCAAAGTGCTCTTAACAAAATATTAGGTCAGTTTATGCTTATAACCTGGACAAATTGCATTGACAGTTGCCAGTTTCAGAGCTTACTGTAACCGGAAGTATTTCAACATGTGTTTTGAAGCAATGTCATTTGTGCTTCGTCACTTAAATGAGACTAGGTCCCCCCCCCCCAAAGACTTTACTAAAGCTGTCTGGACACTTTGTTGTAGGAAGAAGACAACAAACCGAGAGGGTTTGACCGGGGACTACAACCAGAAAGGATTATTGGTGCTACAGACAGTTCAGGAGAATTAATGTTTTTAATGAAATGGTATGTATTTAACATCAAAAATCATTAGTATCAACCAGATGTTTCGCATTTTATTGGCTAAAGCTGATTGTCAATTAAATAGGTCACTGAAATGTAAACAGACTTCGTATAAGCAAGGTCTGTGTTTTCTAGGCCAATAGCCATGGGACACTGGTGGGAACATTTGGGTTTTACATTAAGTCACACAAGTCTTGCTTCGTTGTGTCAACCTGAATAATCTTGCATGGTCTATGAAACAACAGCAATCGATATGAAGATGGGGAAAACTGAATCATGTATAAAAGGAACCTCAAACCACTTACCCTGGATAAGAAGACCTTAGAAATAAACTTGACCTTATTCTTTTTGGCTGGAAAGGCCACAATCTCAATTTTTTGCCACAATTCTGGTGTAGACTTAAGGGTGCGTATTCATGAAACCATCTCTTGCTCAAACAAAGATTCTGTGCTCAAGTCCAGTTTCCTGTGCCAGTGATGAATTCATCAAAAGAAAATCCCTTGCCCTCTTAAACTGCAATTCCAATACACACGAGGATTTTCAAGATTAAAATGGCATGTTACTACAAGATGCAGAAATCATATTTGATTCTTTTTTATTTTTCCAAAATCATGCTTTTTGTGTTCATTATTTACCTGAAGTCACAATGCATGGACCCTGATAGGAAAGAAAAATCAGATATATGATGAGAACAATTCTCAAAAAACAGCTTCCTAAGGAAGTGATACATTTTTGGGTTTATCAGTAATCCGTTATTACTGCTACTTTGAAAAGCTATTTCAAACTTGGAATCAAGTTCAAATACAAGGTAGGCTGATAAAACTAAAAATTAAAAGGGATGATGGGTCATTTTCTGGGTCAGATCTATTAAAAAGCAAAAATCTTAATTTGGGGTCATTAGTGAACCTGTTGTTAAAATATCCTTAAATATTAGTTGGCATGGCATTGCACAATTTAAAACTAACTTCTAATAAGTAACATGACATTTTTTGTTTAACAGGAAAGACAGCGATGAAGCTGACTTGGTACCGGCAAGACAAGCCAATGTTAAATGTCCACAGATTGTTATTGCATTTTACGAAGAGAGGCTCACCTGGCACACACATAATGATAATGAAGAAGAGGAGAGTAAAGAAGAAAGTGCAAAATCATAAACTTTGAGTGATTAGGGGGTAGGGTGGGAGGGGAGGGGACAGGAAGAGTTTGTATAACCTTGCCTGGTGGGCATTTAGACAAAGCTGCATATTTCATGTAGCTGAAAAATGGACAGGAAATTCAGAAGTGTTAATATGGTGAAATAAACAATTGAATGTGAAAATGTTGGTGTATCTACTATCTACAGGAAATTTCATCAGTATGTCATACTCTCCGTATCTTCAGCTGAAATTGAAACTAAATCTTTTTTTTTATTCTGAATCATGGATATTTTAAACATGAATGATAAGCTTGAAAAGAAATAATGTTGTGTGCTGAAGAAGTTCCGGATGGCCAGCCTATCCTGAGCATTGAATGCCCATCAGGTTTGGTTATAGTTCTTGGGATGGTTGCATCATTTTAGGATTTGTTGTGTAACATTTCATGCTACATCACTTTCCTCCTTTTTATCATTAAATTGTCTATTCATTGATTGTCGAGTTATTCACATGCAAGGGACGTGTGTCATTTATAGATCAATGTCAGCCTAACATGTAATGGATATTGTGTGTAGTCTTTACATATTCAATCAATATTTCTTGACTGCGTGGCAGTGTTTAGATGCTGTAGCTTTATTGACACTTCTTGCACTCCAGTAATGTTTGTGGTCTTTGGTAAATTCTGAGCTCGGGGTGGGTTGTAGGGTTGTGTATTTACGCCCTTGCCTAATTTATTGGTATTATCTTTTGACCAGCTTAACATCCAGTGCAGGAAGTGTCACATCAATTGAACTTTTTGCTCTTTTCAAAGGTAATGCGTAGTTTGGATCATTATTATTTTTTGGGGAAAAAAGTGTCATTGGAGCAAATTGTTCAGTTTAAACAGTTTATTGATGTTTTATGGTTCTATCTATAGCTATCAAGTGTGCTTGTAAATATATTTCATTTGTCATGCAAAAACAAAAATCCATTTTTGATGGTAAGTACAATTTGTTTTTCCTTGAAAATATTGTTCTTAGAATTCTTATAAAACCTTCAAAAAATCTTCACTTCTTTTTATGTCTTCGATAAGATTGAAAAATTTACCAAGAAAGCAATGGTTTGAATATTTATCAAGTTTTTTGTTTTGTTTTTTTTTTTTCAAAAAAAAACCCCATCCTAATCTTAATTGATATGAATATATGGTCATTTTAAACTTTACACTTCTTATTGCTACAAAGTGAAGTAATTTCATCGGAAAGTATGGAGAAAACTTGTGACAAAGACCTTTGTAGGCATTGAAAGTATTAAGGTTTTGTGCCATAATTGTATACCTGTATATAAGTAACTTTTCATTTCCTTTTTTATTTCATTTTTAGATCTGTATCATGTCATAGAAAATGTTTAAAGGTTCTACTTTTAATCTAGATAATTAATGTAGGAGAAAGTAATGTATAACATCAACTTGGTAGTGTCAAAATGGTTCAGCATTCCACAAGGTTAGCTTGCATGACTTGGTCGTGTTATGTTCCTTAAATTAACAAAGTTTTTAATGTGATTGAGACATTTTGTTATGGTGGAGTAGCAGAAAAAGGCAAATCAGCAAATTCTTCATCTGATATGGCAAGTTTTAGCGAAAAGTTATCATTATCATTTGATAAAAGATGCAGTACTTTGACAATATTTCCTAGCCAATGACTGTATTGTACATATTTTCAAGACGTACTCATACCAACACCATGTTGTTTGGGTCACAAACTTGTAATCTTCAGTTATGTTAATATAGTCCCATTGGGTGTTTCAGCAACAGTTGACAATTTCAAGCTTAATTTTAACTGGTAAGGTAATCTTGAATTTTGCACACACAAATTGGAGTGATGGCATTTTATTGTAGTGAAGATACCTTAGGCATTATTTTGAAAATTATTGGTTCTCTGAAATTGGGGGGTGTCTTCCTTTTTTATGTAGTGGCCCTGAATCATGCAGTATATATCTGATGCTGTGTAAAAATATTTGAATATCAAAATAGCTATTGTTTGTAAGCAGTGATAATGATGTACATCTGTTGTATAAAGCAACTATTAAAAGTAAACTGACCATGCTTTTTATTAAGAGTGTCCAGACACACAACATGGCTTTAAAAGTCAGTATATCATTGGAAGGGTAATAAAGCATGGTCAGCTTGCTGGGTCTTGTTGAGAGCCTGGTCATGCATAGAAATTTACAATTTACACCATCAACTTTTGACCAGAGTTTATAGAAGATAAATTGTAATCTTAAATTTTGGTCCAGTATATATATCTTCTTCTTTTTTTAGTTACTGCTTTATGAGATGAGCAAAAACCCATCCCCTTGGTAATGGTGTCGTGTCCAGGCTTTTAAACTACATAACCGTATCCAAATGTTGTATTATAAAGTTTGTGTGGAGAGATGACTGATTTTCTAAATCGCACATTGTATAAATCATCAAGTAAGGTTTGGGCAGCTGTATCAAGCATTTTGTTCAAACAAGAACGGAACTCAATTTCATGTGATGTAGTAATCATTTTATTGATGTTTTTGAATAAAAATGTCATGCAATATTTATGTTATCTGGTCTGATTTCATATTACATCAAACTTTGATTTAATAGTTAAAATATTGTACAATTAATTGACAAGATAACATTTACTTTAGAGATTCAAATCTTTATGCAACAAGCGTTGATTCAGGGTTTTGGTCACATATTTGAATGGTCAATATAAAAGTGAGGAATCTAAGTGATTTTACTGCAAGAGTTATATGAATGTATTTATCTCTCAATTAAATCGGTGCATTTATATACCCTGGAGTGCGTCAATGCCGTCATGTTTTGATAGGGCATATAATTGTACTGGAAGCATTTGTCCCTCCAACCACACTTCCATTTCCTCAACATAACTTCGCTTAGATATCATTTTGATTTTTTATGCAACTTGCCAAGCATGTACAATATACAACGGCTCAAACTAAGTTCGAAGTTGAGCAAAAACTGGGCATAATTAATTGGCAAACCGCGTTCTGATAGGTTGACGGTTCTGCACAATAACTCGATGAAATATGTCACAATGAGATTCATCAGTGATAGATGGAACTTTTACCTACATATATGTATATCATACGAAGTTCGAAAGTTTGGAGCAGAATTTGCATATTTTGGTGTGATTGGTCAACGGTTTCTGCGTGGTTAACATATGACCGGATTTGATCAAGCTTTGTCAATATTTATACTATACAAGGGCTTAAGCTATAATCAGATCAGGACGAAACCATTTTGTAGTTAATAAAAACTCCGGTATTCGCAGTATTACATTGGTATAATGTCGGGGTCGAAGACTTTGTTGAAGGAGGGAGGAATGTAGCGGAACTNAAAATGTTACTTACAAAAGGCGAGAAACTAGTCTATATAAAGATTTCAGAAATATTAAATACAACAACAATTGGTACCCCCCACAATACATACCTGTACCCCCCCNTATTTAGTTTTATAATTGTTTATAACCAGAATATATGCAACACACAGACTTCGGGCATGATATTTCTGAAAGAATAGGCTCGGTTTCCCTCTAAGGGAGACAATCTAACTTGGTGGACCTGAGACTTATTGCCCAAGAATGTACTGTTCCTGTTAACTTTCTTGACTTGTATATTCTAAAAAGGTGGACTAAACATACATTTTTATGGTATTGGTAAGAGGAATTCCATGTAATAAAACTTTGACTTGTAGAGTAGATGTGGTCAAAATTAACATCTTTGTTTCTTTAAACAGTTCTGAGAACACATGGGAACCAGAAGAAAATCTTGATTGTCCAGACTTAATAGCAGTTTATGAAGATAAAAGGAAAAAGAGGGAACAAGAAAAGAAGCGAAAAACATCTAATGGAATGGAAGATGGGACAACAAAGAAAAAGAAAAAAGTTACAGAAGTAAAAACAATAGTAAGATTGTTGAGTTTTGTCGCAAGCAATAACTCAAAATCATATGGGGGGGAAATGACAAATATCTAAATAAATTAATGTATATATTGACAACAAGTTTGAAGAACAATCTTCAGGCCTCCAAAACTTCTCTTGTAAGAGTGATAAATTAGTTAAAAATATAATCAATGATTTTGAATTGCATATATGTATATATGCTTTTGGATGCAGTTTGTTTTATTATCAGTTGTTTGATATAAAAATTTCGAGAATGTTCCAGGAGCAGATTTTGGGCTAATGTGGTGTTGTTCTGTTTGTCATCCATCTACCTTAGGTTAAGGCTACAATCCTTAGGCCATTGAGGTAAAAATGAAATACAAGAAAAGAGACTGACCTTCCTGGTTGCTGAGGGGCCAGATCAAATAGACAAGGCTTGAAGGCATCTCCCTCCGCCTTATGTACTGATGATCATTTATTAGATTAATTACAGTCAAGTTACTGATTAATGACTTATAGCTGATATGATTATTGACTTGCAGCTCTTAATTTATCTTCTTTTTAACTAAAAAGTTTAAATAAAGGACCAGTTGGCTTCTTGAAAAGTAAAAACTAAATAATGTAAACTAGACTTGAAGTTCCTTGCAAAGTGCTCTTAACAAAATATTAGGTCAGTTTATGCTTATAACCTGGACAAATTGCATTGACAGTTGCCAGTTTCAGAGCTTACTGTAACCGGAAGTATTTCAACATGTGTTTTGAAGCAATGTCATTTGTGCTTCGTCACTTAAATGAGACTAGGTCCCCCCCCCCCAAAGACTTTACTAAAGCTGTCTGGACACTTTGTTGTAGGAAGAAGACAACAAACCGAGAGGGTTTGACCGGGGACTACAACCAGAAAGGATTATTGGTGCTACAGACAGTTCAGGAGAATTAATGTTTTTAATGAAATGGTATGTATTTAACATCAAAAATCATTAGTATCAACCAGATGTTTCGCATTTTATTGGCTAAAGCTGATTGTCAATTAAATAGGTCACTGAAATGTAAACAGACTTCGTATAAGCAAGGTCTGTGTTTTCTAGGCCAATAGCCATGGGACACTGGTGGGAACATTTGGGTTTTACATTAAGTCACACAAGTCTTGCTTCGTTGTGTCAACCTGAATAATCTTGCATGGTCTATGAAACAACAGCAATCGATATGAAGATGGGGAAAACTGAATCATGTATAAAAGGAACCTCAAACCACTTACCCTGGATAAGAAGACCTTAGAAATAAACTTGACCTTATTCTTTTTGGCTGGAAAGGCCACAATCTCAATTTTTTGCCACAATTCTGGTGTAGACTTAAGGGTGCGTATTCATGAAACCATCTCTTGCTCAAACAAAGATTCTGTGCTCAAGTCCAGTTTCCTGTGCCAGTGATGAATTCATCAAAAGAAAATCCCTTGCCCTCTTAAACTGCAATTCCAATACACACGAGGATTTTCAAGATTAAAATGGCATGTTACTACAAGATGCAGAAATCATATTTGATTCTTTTTTATTTTTCCAAAATCATGCTTTTTGTGTTCATTATTTACCTGAAGTCACAATGCATGGACCCTGATAGGAAAGAAAAATCAGATATATGATGAGAACAATTCTCAAAAAACAGCTTCCTAAGGAAGTGATACATTTTTGGGTTTATCAGTAATCCGTTATTACTGCTACTTTGAAAAGCTATTTCAAACTTGGAATCAAGTTCAAATACAAGGTAGGCTGATAAAACTAAAAATTAAAAGGGATGATGGGTCATTTTCTGGGTCAGATCTATTAAAAAGCAAAAATCTTAATTTGGGGTCATTAGTGAACCTGTTGTTAAAATATCCTTAAATATTAGTTGGCATGGCATTGCACAATTTAAAACTAACTTCTAATAAGTAACATGACATTTTTTGTTTAACAGGAAAGACAGCGATGAAGCTGACTTGGTACCGGCAAGACAAGCCAATGTTAAATGTCCACAGATTGTTATTGCATTTTACGAAGAGAGGCTCACCTGGCACACACATAATGATAATGAAGAAGAGGAGAGTAAAGAAGAAAGTGCAAAATCATAAACTTTGAGTGATTAGGGGGTAGGGTGGGAGGGGAGGGGACAGGAAGAGTTTGTATAACCTTGCCTGGTGGGCATTTAGACAAAGCTGCATATTTCATGTAGCTGAAAAATGGACAGGAAATTCAGAAGTGTTAATATGGTGAAATAAACAATTGAATGTGAAAATGTTGGTGTATCTACTATCTACAGGAAATTTCATCAGTATGTCATACTCTCCGTATCTTCAGCTGAAATTGAAACTAAATCTTTTTTTTTATTCTGAATCATGGATATTTTAAACATGAATGATAAGCTTGAAAAGAAATAATGTTGTGTGCTGAAGAAGTTCCGGATGGCCAGCCTATCCTGAGCATTGAATGCCCATCAGGTTTGGTTATAGTTCTTGGGATGGTTGCATCATTTTAGGATTTGTTGTGTAACATTTCATGCTACATCACTTTCCTCCTTTTTATCATTAAATTGTCTATTCATTGATTGTCGAGTTATTCACATGCAAGGGACGTGTGTCATTTATAGATCAATGTCAGCCTAACATGTAATGGATATTGTGTGTAGTCTTTACATATTCAATCAATATTTCTTGACTGCGTGGCAGTGTTTAGATGCTGTAGCTTTATTGACACTTCTTGCACTCCAGTAATGTTTGTGGTCTTTGGTAAATTCTGAGCTCGGGGTGGGTTGTAGGGTTGTGTATTTACGCCCTTGCCTAATTTATTGGTATTATCTTTTGACCAGCTTAACATCCAGTGCAGGAAGTGTCACATCAATTGAACTTTTTGCTCTTTTCAAAGGTAATGCGTAGTTTGGATCATTATTATTTTTTGGGGAAAAAAGTGTCATTGGAGCAAATTGTTCAGTTTAAACAGTTTATTGATGTTTTATGGTTCTATCTATAGCTATCAAGTGTGCTTGTAAATATATTTCATTTGTCATGCAAAAACAAAAATCCATTTTTGATGGTAAGTACAATTTGTTTTTCCTTGAAAATATTGTTCTTAGAATTCTTATAAAACCTTCAAAAAATCTTCACTTCTTTTTATGTCTTCGATAAGATTGAAAAATTTACCAAGAAAGCAATGGTTTGAATATTTATCAAGTTTTTTGTTTTGTTTTTTTTTTTTCAAAAAAAAACCCCATCCTAATCTTAATTGATATGAATATATGGTCATTTTAAACTTTACACTTCTTATTGCTACAAAGTGAAGTAATTTCATCGGAAAGTATGGAGAAAACTTGTGACAAAGACCTTTGTAGGCATTGAAAGTATTAAGGTTTTGTGCCATAATTGTATACCTGTATATAAGTAACTTTTCATTTCCTTTTTTATTTCATTTTTAGATCTGTATCATGTCATAGAAAATGTTTAAAGGTTCTACTTTTAATCTAGATAATTAATGTAGGAGAAAGTAATGTATAACATCAACTTGGTAGTGTCAAAATGGTTCAGCATTCCACAAGGTTAGCTTGCATGACTTGGTCGTGTTATGTTCCTTAAATTAACAAAGTTTTTAATGTGATTGAGACATTTTGTTATGGTGGAGTAGCAGA